CAAAGAGGCACCCCTCGATCTATAGGCCAAGGCCATCATTCTCGGGGCTAACACTTCGAACAAGTTCGAAGTGTTATTGGGAAAAAAGCCCAAGAGGCATACCCAAAGGCTGCGGCCAAATTAAGGCGGCTCGGAGACGGCAAGTAATCAAAAGGGCTTCGATAAAATCAGCCCTCGAAAAACCTTAAAAGGTATCAAATTATCTTAATACAAACGTGCTAAGGCATAAAAAGCAAAGGGGTTTCAATCGACATCGAACTCTCAAAACACCCAATGGGTAAAGAATACGTGTTAAGGCATAAAGATTTTTTTTTACTAAGTCTTCTAAGCCGAAAAAGGGAAAGAATAACCATCTTTTAGAGGCCATATCGGCCCAATCTAAAGAGCCTAAGGGCCAATACACTTAGAGTTCGAGATTTTGTTCTAACTCAATTTGGACCTAAGGGTTCCACTATTCCGAGCTCAGATAAAACTGACTTGAATATAGCTCGAGGATTCATCATTATTTGATATAAAACCTTAAAGGGTCTGTTACTGTGAGTTCGAAACTTACTCGAACTCGGCTATAAAAACAGTACAATTACGGCTTCGATCAAGCCATCCGAAATCAAAATCTTGAACATATTGTTGAGCTCGGGGACTCGCCCTCGCTTAACTAAAAAACCTAAGGGTTTGTTCTACTCTGAGTTCGAGCTATTGCTCACTCGATTATACAGGCTACAGCAACCCAATTGCAACAAAGTTTTCACAAGGCAAAGACAAAACAAAATTTATCATAAATTAGAAATCGGAGAAGAAACGGAAAGGAAAGGAATCTCTCATATATGCAAAGTATTTACAAAGACCACACAGGCTCTTACACAAAAAATAAAAGGAGAAAAAATCCTAAGTGCCTAGTCCACCTCGGGAGTCGCATCTTCGGGAGCTTCATATTTATTTCCTCCGCTCTCGGATCCACTCGCTGAGTCTTCATCATCAGAAAGCAGAGCTCCGGCCTCGTCCTCCAAAACCTTCACACTCTCGATATCAGCCGTGAGGTCGAAGCCACGAGCATGAACCTCCTCAAGAGTCTCCCTTCGAGACTGGTGCCTAGCATGCTCGGCAACACGGGACAATCTAATCTCAGCAATGTCAGAAATTTCCTTTGCCCGAGTGTTAGGGGCTTCAGCATCGGCTCGGTAGGAGGCCACGAGCGCCTCTGCCTTGGATGTGGCCCTTGCAAGCTCAGCGGCCAACTGAGTCTCGAGCTCCTTAACCTTATGGGCTCGGGCCAAGTTCTCCTCCTTCACACTTTGGAGTTGATGCTAAATCGAAGACAGTTGGGCTCGAACCGCATCTTCTCCGAGGCGAGACAGTCCACGTTCTGTTTCCACCCCAAAGTGTCCGCCTCTTTCATCTTGGCCTCCTCACGAAGCTGCTCAACCAATTCAGCCTTCTGCTGAACCTGCAGGATCAAAGTGTTAGTCGCCAATATCAAGTTAATACATAACAAGCTCCCAAAAATTTATATTACCCGTTCAATGACCTCGGTCTGATCTTGATGAGCTCCTGTCAGCTCGACTCGAATACTCACGATCTCCTCTTCTTTTTGCATATAGAGGAGTTTGAGGGCGTCTCTCCTTCGTAAGCTTTTTGAGATCAGCCTCATATCGGGCCAGCTCAGCTCGGTATTTGGAGGACGCTTCTCGATGGAGCATCGTAGCCTGTACAAAAAGGAAGGAAATTAGACTTAGTTAAATAAGAACAAACGCAAGCATGGTAACATGGGCTAAAACTCACTTGGTTCAGAAGTGGCTGAGCCTCATAAAAAATGAGTGATGTGTCCAGGTCGGGAACATCATCGACCCCCGCGAAGCAGCCGCAAAATATATCATCCCCTTCGAGGGTCGTCCCCACATCGGGGGTCCCCATGGACCAGGCATCCCGAAACTGCCCATCAGAGAACGTGTGGCCGGGCGGCGAATCATCAATGTTAATTTCCCCGAGTGAGTCACTTGGGGAATTCTCTTCTCTTTGAAGGGCCTCAGAATTAGACCCTTCGGGCACACCCGCCGGTTGCTCATCATGGTAGGAGGCATCATCAACACCCGATGACTCGGGGACTCTGCTCGGACCTTCCTCCGAGATCACCTCGGTCTACGGCTGAACCTTATTGACCATCACCGGCTCAGCAGTTCTTGCAGCTTCGATGCTTTCCCTCTTCCGAGCCACCAGCAGGCAGTCGACATTTTCTCCCTCCTCGTCTTCATATCGTAGCTCTTGGACTAAATCAGCAGGCAGAACGGCGGGATCGATCTTTGATTTTTGAGCCCTGCTTTTCCTGGGCTTTGGGGTATCTGGAGGCGAGGCCCTTCTCCTTTTCTTGTCTTTGGTCGGCTTCGGGACCTCCTCTTCCCCGGGGGGAGGCGGCCTCATGACGACATTATCTACGAAACCTGTATGAGAAGAAATTAAGTTAAAAAGAAGTATTTCACAGGAAAGCATCAAACATGGACATGGGAACTTACCATAATTTTTGGCCTCCCATCGACCCTTGGACAAATCGTGCCAGCGCTCAACATACGAAGAGGTTGAAACCAGTTGTCGAACCCAACCTGCAAGGTCCGGGACTGCACCAGGAAACCAGGGGGAAGTTGCACCATAAAGAAGAATATAGATGAGAAGAGGTAAAGGAAACATAACAAGTAATCAAACGTTATAGGTGAGGTTTTACTTACGCTTAATATTCCATTCTTCGGGGAAGGGCATCTTCTCAGCGGGGATTAAGTCGGAGGTCCTGACTCGGACAAACCGACCCATCCATCCTCGGTCCTTGTCCTCGTCTATGCTCGAGAACAGCACCTTCGTGGCCCGGTGCTGAAGCCTTATCAATCCACCCCGATAAAGACTGGGGCTGTATAGCCTAATGAGATGATCAAGGGTGAAAGACATCCCCTCGACCTTGCTCGAGAAGAATCTGAGCAAAATGACAATGCGTCAAAAATAGGGGTAGATCTGGCCTAGGGTTACCCGGTATTGGCGGCAGAAGTCGATTATGACAGGATCGACGGAACCCAGTGTGAAAGGTAAGTATACACACTTAAGAACCCTTTCACATGAGTGGTGATGTCCTCCTCGGGGGTAGGAATCACCACCTCTTTATTCTCCCAGTGGCAGTGTTTTTTTACCTGCTCGAGATCATCTTCGGTTATCGAACAAATGTATCTGGACATGAGCTCGCATCGGCCAGGAACTGAAGAGGGTTTTTCGACTTTAAAGTCGGAAGTAAGTTCACATGGCTCGGGGATGCACTCTTCGATACGTGGCTCCACCGGTGTTTTGTCACCGGCCGGCCGCGATGAGGAGGCCTTTTCTTCTTGAGGAACGGTCTTTGATGTTTTTGCCATTGCAATATGAGGTTTAAGGAAGAAGAAGGCAAAATATGTGTTTTAATAAGAGATTGGCAAACGAAAACCGGCAAAGTTGATGAACTTGAAGAAGATAAAAGAGCTTTTGAAGATTAGAAGAAGTTTGAAAGTAAAGTTTGAGAAGATTATGAAGGTGGTCTATTTATAATAGCCACTTTGATGGTTTGAAAGCACTGGTGGCCGACCATTAACTGCGTTAATTAATGACCTTGGGAATTGTGCAGACGCGACGCTTCAATCGCTTTTGTCGCTTACGTCACGATGTTGACGTCATAATTGATTGAGGTATTAAATCGAAGTCTCGAATTCGTTTCTTCTCATTACACTCTAAACCAACGAGGGGACTATCTGTATACGGTAGAAATCGAGTATACCCGATTTCGGTGGCAGAGGAGTTGCCTCGAGGGTAACCTCATAATAGATCGGGCTCGAGCTCGAAGATAGAACATCAAGCCTGGAGATCAAAGTGTTCATTGAGATCGAGGCCAGCAACAATCGAGATTAAGCATGATTGACTTCGAGTAAGGCGTAATAACAGAATGGCGAGATGTCAGTAATCGGTCGAAGATCACGGCGAAAATCTCGGAACAGATCAAATCAAAGCGGTTATTAGTACCAATCATGGGATCTATTTCCGTTATTAGAGTTGTACCTTATTTAGGATTCCCCTATTATATAAAGAGGGATCCCATTCACTTGTAAAAAAATGATCATTATTCACTGATAAGAATATACACATACGCTGCTTTCTTTGTTTTGCTTATTGTTCATCGTTGTTTGTTCCATCATCCACTGTTCTTATTAACTAATCTCGAGACTATCTCGAATCGAGGTCGAAGGCATTGTTTGCAGACCGGTTTGATTTATTTTATTGTCCAATTTATCTATTTAATTCGTCGTTTATCAATTGATACCGGTTCAAATCACATATCCTTAAAACCCCAATATAAGTTTAATTGAAACTCAATTTTTAGGGTAAACAAACGGTCAATCCCAGGCTTTCTTTTATTTATTTACTGTTTAATTTGTATGCATCGATAATATTAAATTAATTTATTTACATAACCAGATCACTAATAAAATATTACAAATAAATTTTTCTGATAAACATAAATTAGTAAAGATAAAAATAGTACTAATTGATTTGCTATCGCATGTTAAAATTCACTAGAAACTTCTTATACTACTACAACTAGTTATGTGTACTGAATGAACAAGCAAATTGAACTAGGAAAACAGGGAAGGGAATGGTAAAAGCGTTCTACTATTAAGCAGCAGTCTTCTGTCAAGATATATGAGTCATAGCAGCTGATTAATAAAAAAGAATATCTACTAGCAAGAATTCTACCCAAGACTCAGTCTTAGGTGTTTTCCTCCCAACTTTGTCCATAAAATTCATCCAAATTTGATTATTATAATATATACATGTAATGTGACCCATTGTGTAAGCAAATGTCATACTCAAAGATAAGTGGAAGTGTTGGAATTAAGCAGCCATAGTGGTATTTAATTACTAATAATTCCCTGTAAAACTCAGTTTGAAAAGCACACCCCTTCACTCTGCTCCCTATAAATAGCAACCTTCTCATCACTCCCAAAACACACAACTTTCATACATATCGCACTGAATTTTGTAGAATAAGAAGAATGAAGTTTTGGGCAGTGGTTTTGTTTTGTGTCTTGTCTGTAACAGGAGCATTGGCACAAGATGTTGGTGCTCTTGTTAGTAAAGACATGTTTGAGAGACTGCTACTGCACCGCAACGATGCCAATTGTGCTAAAGGATTCTATACTTACGATGCATTCATAGCTGCTGCTAGGTCCTTTGGAGCTTTTGGAACTACTGGAGACACCAACACTCGTAAGAAGGAAATTGCTGCATTTTTGGCTCAAACTTCTCATGAAACTACTGGTATGTATATTTTCTTCACATGCATTAGTATGACAATTAACCTTTAGTTATAAATTAATCTTACACAAGATATATACTAATGTTATGTTGATAAATAGGGGGGTGGGCAACAGCTCCAGATGGTCCATATTCATGGGGATACTGCTTCAAGCAGGAACAAGGCAACCCTCCAGATTACTGTGTCGCAAATCAACAATGGCCTTGTGCTCCCGGTAAAAAATACTTTGGTCGAGGTCCCATGCAAATATCCTAGTAAGTGCTCTAGTTTTAACTTGTTAATTTACCAGGTTACCTGCCTTATTTTTTAAGTTATTGAATTGTTACGTTACTCATATGCAGTTATCTTTCGAGTGATCTGATACTGTGAAAAAATCAGTTATACTGTAGGGTGTAGGCTAACTCAATGAGAACTTAACACTATCAATCTATATTTTACTTAACATTTTGCAGCAAGTTACCAACCTTATTTTTCAAGTTGCTAATCTTACTTGTTATGGGCATGGTTAGTTGTAGTTATCTTTTATATATGTGACAAACATCTTCGAAATTTTCAGTTATGGAATCCTAATAACTCAACTATCAATATTATGACATGTAGTAACTACAACTATGGACCAGCTGGAGAAGCCATAGGAGTGGATTTGTTAAAGAATCCAGATGCAGTTGCAAATAACGCAGTGGTTTCATTCAAGACAGCGTTGTGGTTTTGGATGACAGCGCAGCAACCAAAGCCCTCGGCTCACGATGTCATTACTGGTAAATGGAGACCATCAGGAGCTGATTCATCTGCTGGTCGTGTCCCTGGCTATGGTTTAATCACCAACATCATCAACGGCGGAATTGAATGTGGAAAAGGTTCTAATCAAAATATGGAAAACAGAATTGGCTTCTACAGGAGATACTGTCAGATTCTTGGAGTCGACGCTGGCAACAATTTGGACTGCGCTAAACAAAGGCCTTTTGGGCAGTAAATACCTTAGTCTGCTAAGTTATACTTACTATTATATATATAGTTCTCTTTCTACAAATAAGTTGCTACCGTCTATCTATGTACTACTATCATGTGTGGCATCATGAGGTATAAATATAAATAATAAAGTTTGGCCCATCCAAACTAAGATCGATCTCTTGCCTATTTCTCTAAACGTTAAAAAGAGTGTGTGGTGAACACGAGTATACATGGATCGGGTTGGTTCGATTTTTATCACAACCAAATCAAACCAACTATATCGGTTTGGATTGGTTCGGTTTTGTCGGATTTTTTGGGTTTTTTGTTGCATAAATATTATTTCAATCTTACTTTGTTAAATTTTTTATAAGTAAATATATATTTCGTAAACATTGAACAAATTGACAAACGTATGATCTATTAACATATTCTTATAGGAGAATTTTCTTAGTAACATATAGTAGTTATTTTTTTAGTCGTCTGACAATATATAATTTTTCGTTGATGTACACTTTCAAGGTTAACTGAATTTAATAATTAAACATAAAATCAATATGATACCTATATAATAATATGTTCTATTTAATTTTAAATTATCAAAATACCACTTCAAATTCGAAAAAGATATAAGAATATAATAGATCTTGACATATGAATATGGAAGAACAAAGAGATTGACACATATCACTAACATTTGATAAGAAAGTGATCATACAACCCATTATTTAAAGCTAATAAAGATAGAGCACTTCATATTTTACTAAATATTACATCCCATAAGAGAATCTTAAATATTTCTAGACATTTTTTAAAGAAAATTCTATGAAAATTCTTAAAAGTATATATAAAAATTATATATTTATATGTCGGTTTTGTTCAGATTTTTTTACTCAATATCAAACCAAATCAAACCAAACCTAATCGGGTTTTTTAATCGGTTTGGTTTGACTTTTCGGTTTGGTGTGATTTTCCGGTTCGATTTGTACCCTAGTGGTGAATAACATATTCTCTCCAGTATTTTGTGTTTCATGTATGTTCTCTTCCTGTTTTCTTGTCTTGCATCTGAGAATGAGTTAATCATCAATTTGCGGCCTGGTGACTGGTGAGAAATGCATTATCAAAATTAATAATCAGTAATATTTTTTTGTTTTGCTATGTCACACGTATATATTCATAAATCATAATGACCATAAAACGGAATCCTTTTAATTACATGGAGGACAGATATAAAGTACTACCTTTTATACTTTGATACTGTTAAGAAATGTGTTGGTAAAATACCCACCGACATCACCAGAAATATTTTGGAGATTGCAATGTTTTTGTGAATCCTGTTGATTACCATGAAATATTTTGGCGATTATTATGTTTTGTGGCAAATTCTAGTGGCAGAAGAATTCGAACAATTTATGTAGCAAATCCTAATGAGCACTATATAAAAAATATTTCCACTAGAAGCCTTTCCAAAATTCTCGTAGAGGTTCTTTTCCCAATGTTTTCTTAATAGGGTTAAAAAATAAATAGTGCCATCAAAGTATCCTATTTGCGCAAATCTGCCATGTCCGGGAGGCCCTTTTGAAGGCTTATTAGTCGAAATGGGCTGTTTGCAGTTCAAGAGGCCTTTTAGACTGGCAGTCTAATCTCTGGGCTAAGCTCTTTGACTCCTAAGAAAGACATCCAATTCTGTACTCCGTAGTTCACTTCTCTCCCTCGGCATACATACTGTGTACCTACCGAAGCTCAAAATGCTAAACCCTTGCACAACCCTAATCTAGTCCTTTTAGCAGAAAGAAAAAACTGAAAGAATCTGAACAACAAGCTCAGAGAAAATGGGAAAACTACCACCTTCCTTAAGGTCAGCTAACTTTGCTGTAAACACTCTCATTAAAACTCCATCTTCTTCTGTTCCTCACCCAAAAATCTCATCTCCACCCCCACCACCAACCTCAAAACCCCATTATTTCCCCAAAATATCACAATCACCCAAGAAAAAAACCACATCAGTTACTCAACAACCCCAGCTTCCTTCTATTGTAGCCTTTGATTCAACAACTCTTTCTGATGCTAAAACCCTTTTCAATTCCCTCATTTCCAATCCCAAAAATGTACCTTCAGACCCTAAATTTTATAATTCAATCCTTCAATCATTTTCCTCCAATTCTACCCTCCAAGATTCAATCTTTTTCCTTAATCACATGATCAAGACTCACCCAACCTTTTCTCCAGACAGATTTACATACCATGTTCTCCTCATCCAATCTTGCAAGTCAGTTGACAATTCTCTATCCCCTGTTCATCAGGTTCTCAATCTCATGACTTCCAATGGTTTCCCACCAAATAAGGTCTCCACAGACATTGCTGTGAGGACCCTTTGCTCTTCGAACCACGAAGAGCAAGCCATTGAGCTGGTGAAAGAACTTTCCTCCAAAGACTCTCCACCTGATACCTATACTTACAATTTTATTGTCAGGCACCTGTGCAAGAACAGGTCTTTGAGTAGTATGAATAGCTTTATTAAAGAAATGAGGGAGGGTTTTGATATAAAGCCTGATCTTGTTACTTATACAATTATGATTGATAATGTTTGTAACAGTAAGAATCTAAGGGAGGCCACTCGGTTGTTGGGGGTGTTGAGTGAGGAAGGCTACAAGCCTGATTGCTATGTTTATAATACAATTATGAAAGGTTATTGTATGTTAAGTCAAGGGGGTGAAGTGTTAAGTGTATACAAGAAAATGCAGGAGGAAGGAGTAAAGCCTGACCTTGTGACTTATAATACTTTAATCTATGGATTGTCGAAATCGGGAAGGGTGAAAGATGCTAAGAAGTTTTTGAGTGTTATGATGGAGGAGGGCCATAATCCGGATGCAGTCACGTATACTTCGTTAATGAATGGGATGTGTAGGGAAGGAGATCCATTAGGGGCGGTGGCTTTGTTGGAGAGAATGGAAGCACGGGGCTGTGCTCCTAATTCATGTACATATAATACATTGCTTCATGGGTTATGTAAGGCAAGGTTGTTGGATAAGGGGATGGAACTGTATGATATTATGAAGAAGAATGGTATGAAGCTTGAGACGGGGTCATATGGGACGTTTCTCAGAGCGCTCTGTCGGAATGGCAGAGTAGCAGAAGCTTATGACGTTTTTGATTATGCAGTAGAGAGCAAGAGTTTGACGGATGTTGCTGCTTATACTACATTGGAGAGCACATTGAAGTGGCTTAAGAAAGCTAGAGAACAGGGACTTGTCATTTGACCTCCATTGCTGGTATTCTGATTCATATGAAGTGTTTTACTTATTCATGGGCATTTTAAATCTTGCTTAGAGATTTGTCAACTCTTCAAATGCTCCTCTATGGGCTTGAGAAGTCTAATCTTCTCATTGTTTGATCCTTTTTATGTACTTTTTCATGTTAAGAAATACACAGGAGAGTGTTTGAATTAATTGTACATATGGCAGGGATTATGTGTTTGATCTAATTGTAAATATGACAGTAGTTATCAAGCCGGGAGAGTGATAGAACATTAACTATTTTCCAAATTATTTAGAAAATTAACACTAAGTTTCTCTTTGTATCCAGAGTACGCCCTGCTGAGCTGAAACCCTTATTTTCATCAGATTAGAAATGTAAAAGGTCATATTAGTGTCTAGAATTGTTTAGCGCTTTTTCATTGGAGCTATGAGAGATGAAAAGACAAACTTCAATATGATATTTTTTCTGTTTGTTGGGAAAAGATTTATTTCCATTTATGAACACAGAGTTGTGTACTCAAGGCTGTTATATTCCTAGGGATCTGTCTCTTGTCATATGTTATTAGTAGTTTGGGTCCTGAAATTTCTCGAACACTGAAGTAATAACTTTTTGGCCTTTCTTTAACATGTTCCTATCTTTTGCCTCTTCATAATTTTCATATTTATCTTCATCAGAAAAAAGTAATGATAATTATAATTTTCATTTTTACCTGAATGGTGCTAAATAAGTATAGCCCCTTCCTTTATCTTTCCTGAGCCGAGGGTCTACCGGAAACAATCTCTCTGCTTTCTTAAAGGTAGGGGTAAGGTCCGCGTACACACTCCCCTCCCGAGACCCCACTTGTGGGACTACACTGGGTATGTTGTTGTTATTGGTGGTGCTAAATGAGTATATATTCCACTGAAGAATAGTTCACAATGGCATGTATCTGAACTTAGATTCTGTAACCAACAAAAGAGTATTCTTTTGAAGCACTTTGCTGTATACTGACCCTTTATTTCCTGCCAGTCGTTCTGCTCTGTTAACCATTTGAATTATGTGAACAGTGGCTCTCTGCGTAAATTAGCTTGGCCTGGCATGAATGGAGAAAGTCCTGATTGAATGAACGCCTTGCCTACTGGTAAGGCTTAGGCCATGTCTTCACAACATTCTGTCCTGCCTGTGTTTGGAAGCATTTCATAAGTTTTAGTTCTGTAAATTGTCCAATTTGGATCTCTGTTGCTTAGAATAACTGTGGATATTGCATGCAAAATGGCAGTGTTATGGCTCTTGGTATCTGAAATTTGCTGCTTCTCAATGTCTTATAGATTAGTTGGGTGAGATAGGATTTCGTGACGGCAAGTATGGCATGAAATCTTTACCAAGTACATGCCATGTAACTTTATAATAATTACCTTATTTTCGTTTGCAAAGTATGGCAGGGTATGTCGTCAAATGGTGTCATGTAAGGTAGTTGGGTGAGATAAGATTTCAGTACGATATGCCATGTGTAACATATTAGCTAGCAAATTTTTGATAAATTAACATGGGCACTGGGCAGATAAAATAAGATTGAGAATTACTCCATGTGATTGTCATTCAACTGTTAGTCTGTTACTTACAGAGAATAAAGCAAGTTAGTCTGAATTAAAATTGCATCATTTTAAACTAGACGAGATTCCAATATTGGATAGGACCAAATCTAATTTTGACATTAAATTCCTATACAGGGTCCAAGGCCCATTGGTTGGAGCAAGCGGCTGATTGGGCTGGATATAGGAGTAAGTCTACAAATGACTTTCGGGCAGGTCAATTTGCCCATTGGTGGCGACACTTAAAAGTTTTAACAATGGGTAAATTTTTTGACTATTGATCTTGAAGATTTGTCATTGGTTGGATCGACTATCCCTTATGGTAGTTTTTTGCATTATGTCCGACCCCCACTTTATGATTTTATTAAAAGGGCGGTCCACATAAATAAGGCTACATCATCCTTGTTGCTCCATTTCATGAAATTCCGATCTCCACTTTAGTGGGAATTCTTATGATTCTCAGTCACATGTTAATGTCTTCTGCTTTTATAGAATTTGCGACAAGAAATCTGCTTGATTGTCTCATTGGTTCCTTTGCAGAACAAGTGTAGAAATTCAAAATTGCAGTATGTACATACATGGATAAGGTTCTATGCTCTGTATTTTCTGACACTGAAATCACATGTTGTGTTAATTATCCTAGATTTCAGTGTACCTCTGTGCCAATGGAGTGTCTTGGTCCCTCATCTTATTTCTTACTAGAGGCAAATTTAAGAACAGTTCGGCAGATTCAAGTATTCAAGACATTACTCTCAGCTCGAATCACCTATATGCATGCAAAATTAATTAAAAAATATAAATATATAATAGATCATATTCGTCCTGAATTTATTGACTCTAAATTTAAAAGTAACACTTTCGCAAATGAAAAGCTGTGATTGAATTAATTGACAAATTGATTCAGTCACAGAAGCATGAATAAGAACAAATATTTAACCTTTCTTTATTTATTCATGTGCTCCATAATCTTTTTAAACCCAGCTCAATTTTCAAGATACGATAATTACGTAAATAAAACCTAAAGTTATTCTTTGTCTACCCAAAACACAACCTATTACCCAATCAAAATAAATAGAGTAATTCTTGTTATCAAAATGTTTTCCAGCTAAATGATACGTGTTCACCTAAAACCCTATGTCTAGGCTCTTTCTCAATTGTAACCCTAGGCTGTTAACCAATCCAAATTTGTTAGAAATTAAGAAACGACAATGGGTTCAGTGTATTTTTCCTGATTCTTTGTGGATTAATAATGTCTAGAAACATCAACATTTCCCTATGTATGTTAAAAAAGGTTATTTCAAAGATACGATTAAAATCCAAAAAAGGGAATCTTGCAGAAAATTGTTGTGAGGAAACAAGGCAAATACAGCTCTAACGCACTCTCTGTAATCAATGATTGAACTCAGAATTCGTTCGATTTAGTAATGAATGCGAAAAAATGCGAAACGTTGCTAATTCTGAGGCCATAAGATGCAGGATATAAAATTATAAAATAATTGCATATTGTTGGTAAAGGATGTAACAAGATTACTAAAAAAATATTTGGTTGCCTATGTTGTTGTCGCATGCAAATTAATTCTACAAAAAGGTCATGTTCCTATAAGTACATTCTTGAATCATTGTTACATCCAAGCATCACCTCAGAAATCAACTAAACCTTTCTTCCAAAAACCAATCAAACCATGGCTAAATCTAAAAATCTACCTTGTCCTGTTAGGTCCATTAGCTTGCCTTCCAGATTAAATCCTAATGGCCTAAAAATTGAAGCTGAATTAGACAAGCTGAAAATCTTGGAAATTCCTGTAAGTGCAGAGAGAATCCAGACTGGTATTCTTGGGCTTGTAGAATTATACAATTGTGTGCAGGAACTAATTCAATGTCCAAACACACAAAAAACTCTTGCCCAACATCAAAGTGGAGCATTAGTGGAAGAGGCACTAGAGGGATCTCTTGAGTTACTTGAGTCATGTGACACTATTAGAAACTTATTTTGTATGATTAAGGAACAAGTGCAGCTTCTTCAGTCAGCTTTACGACGAAAAGGTGCAGATTCAAGCATTGAGAAGGATATTAGCAATTATTTTAACTTCAGGAAGAACATGAAGAATGAGATAGTAAAGAACTTGAGGAGACTGAAGCAAATGGAAAACAGAGTTGGATCTTCTGTTTTCTGGGACATTGAACAACACTTATCGATGGTGATTCGAGTGCTAAGAGAAGTAACATCTGTTACTATATCTGTCTTTAAGGCCCTGTTAGTATTTTTGTCATACCAAGATACAAAAATAAAGCCTAGAGGGTGGTCTATGATTTCAAAGTTGATGATCACTAAATCAGCTTCTTCTCAAGGTGGCCAAATTTTCAGTGACATGGGAAGTGTTGATATAGCTCTTGCCTCACTTCGCGAACATATTAAGTACAATGAAACCAAAGTTGATATTAATGTTGTGCGAAGGAAATTACAATCACTTGATTCGAGCATCGAGTGTTTTGAGGCTGGATTACAGAGCTTGTACAAGCAATTGATCCAAAGTAGAGTTTCATTTCTTAATATTTTGGCAGTTTAATTAGAACAAAATCTTGTACATATATAAGGGTTTGGCTATATATAGGCCAAACACCAAATTTTTGTTATAGTGAAGAAGTATAGTTGGCACGAAGTTATAATTAAATCTTAGCTTAAACTTTTGCACCATACTTGTTCATCATTGAAGTCCAACAGAATTTAATGTTTGGCAGCACTTCTATGAATACAATGGACTTACTCTACATGTTTTCCAACAGATGCAATTGTGAGATCCTTCCATTTTAGTTTCCTCTTTGATCTTAACTTTGAGATCTGACTAGTACGTCTTTTTGAATATCATGTCTGAAATACTTATAGTACTAAAAAGACAAAAAATTAGATGAATATCACTCTTTTTCGTTTAGTTGTATGTATGATTAGAAATTGATAAAAATGTTCTTATAAAACAAAGTTAGGGCTCACCTCGAGATGATGGCGCCCCTAAACTTCTAAGGCAATCATCGGGGGCTAAAATTGTTAGTTAAATGTGAAAAGGTGTCTTTTGATTTCATGGGCTGCATCTATTCTTTGAAGGGTGTAGTAGTTATTTTCTCCACTCTTTATAAATACCAACAGTCTGTCAATTTTCAACAATGAAAACTCTATTCTAGCATCTAAGTATTCCATCTCAAAACAGTTTCTGCAGTGGAAATAAATTCCAGCAATTAAACTATTCCAAATCCTGCACTCTTTCAGCACCCTCTAAATCTTCATACGGTGGTTCTTTTCAAGAATCATTATCTTCATCCCTCCAAAATTCAACAAAAGCAGTCAAGAGATTTTGGAGTTGGTTGGAACTTCTAGCTATTTGAGTGCACACTAGAAGTTCCTGAGTAGTTCGTTGTATTTTTGGAGTAGGACGTCATTCGGCTGTTGCACCAAGGTAGCGGCGGATATCTACTCTGAAGAGAATATATACCTGCCCTATAGCATGCATTTTTCACTTCCTAAACTCTCTTCTTTTTCGGTGAATTGTTGCTATTTGTTCTTCTGTTTAGTTAACCACCTTCACTGTTATTAATTCCAACAAAAATCTGATAGAGTGGAGTGAGCCATTAGCTCATGCATGCTTTACTCCTCAAATTGTTCGTCTCCTACATCCTAAAATTCTCTAAATGTACGTTTTTACGTGTTAGATTATCCGTAATGTACGCTCTATCTATCAGACTAGTGTTCATGGTTCGGTTTGGATCGGTTTTTTCCTAAAAAGAAATCAAACCAAGTAAGTCGGTTCTTAAAATATTGGAACCAAACCAAACCAAACCAATTAATTAAGTCGGTTTTTTAGCGATTCGGTTTTTATCAGTTTTTCGGTTTTTTCGGTTATTTATCGGTTTTTTCTTAAATATGAGACATACACTACCAAACACATATTCCGGCGACTACATTTTCAACGTAACACTATCAAACCAATTGCTCTTTGAGAAATCTATCACTTACCATGATATATTGATGATAATTGAATTGAATAGTGATGAATAATTTAAGTACTCAATTAAAAATCGATTATTTTTAACATAAAATAATTCTTGTGATTAGCAAAAGCAAACTACCAATCAAACTAGAATGTAAAGACAAAAAATTAGATTATTGTAATAGCAAAGAACTAGACTTAAAATACAAACTACTAATATGTACCATAACATTTTAGAAACTTTATATAAAAATATACATATATATAGGTATAATAATAAATTTAAATAGCTACTTCTATAGTCAGTTTGGTTCGATTTTTTCGGTTATCTTTTGATTAAAACCAAAACCAAACCAAATTTGATCGGTTTTTAAAATTCAAAACCAAAACCAAACCAAACCTAAAAAGTATCGGGTTTTTTCGTCGGTTATAGGTTTGGTTCGGTTTTTTTGGTGTTTATGAACACCCCTATATCAGACTATCATTAAGAATATTTCATCAACAAATTTTTATGTAACACATATATTAGTATCCTAGATAGTTAAATCAGTTGAGCTTTTTTCGGTTTTTTACTACATATAATTTTTAATGTATTATCTACATTTTTTATTTTCGTTATATTTTTGTTGTTTACACCTATTAATTAAAAATTATAAAAGTTAATGGGACTACGCTCAAATCACATGATATATCCTCGACCTGCGTCTCCACTTTTATGAAAAAATTATAGTAAAAGTTAATGGGACTAATCAACTTAGATAATATATATTTCGTAGTATTTTATATTTTTTATTCATGTTCCAGAATCCATAAATTCGAAGTATTAATAATTGTCATCATGCTGTAAAGCAAGCAACTCTGCACTGACAATATTGGAATAAGATATACTCCAAGTAGTAGCGAGCAATGCTTCAGAGAGCGAATCTATAATCAAAATTCATTGAATTAAGCTCAAATTACCAACAATTAACACCAAAACCACATGCATGAATTGCGTTGGTTGTTTGTAACAATTTGAGTAGAATCCTCAATATCTATAATTACCTGCTAAAGGACAATGTCTTGTACGATTATGTGAGATGGAAGCTATGGCCAAAAAGAGAAGACAAGATGTTTTTGGTTTAATTATTTTCTTGTCTTGTGGAAAAAATTAGCACTTAACTAGCATTACTAATTGATTACAAATCACAACGTAATCATAGCCACATGGGAACATGGATGACCATTGTTGATAAAACATGTTCAATTGTTTCAGCTTTTTCTACCCAAATTGTTTAAGGTTCATGGTTTACGGTTAATGCCGCTTCATTAGTCGTCATTTTATGTAGGATTAACAATTGGAGGGACAAGAAATGACAATAAAATTTAATTTGCAAACCTGATCAATACTAACACTGAACCTGATCACCTGGACAAAATTTCATCTTTGCAAATCCACTTCTATTAATGGGTTGTTAGATAGAACCTAAGCTATGGTGCTCCCATTCTTTCATAATGACAATGGAGGGAGCATCATTAACAGTAGCGGCAGGGCGGACTTATAGATTATAAGTTACAGATTCATGTGAACTAAATAATTTTTATCCAAACCCGATATATATATTAAGAAACTCCCAAAATATATATAAAAATTTGACTGTGAACCCATTATCATTAAAAATTATATTGAGGTTGTGGTAGAAGCTCATAAACTATAAATCGTGGATCCGTAGAGTCATTGAATCTAATGACAGGGTTAGAAAAATACAAGGATGTTACGTCTGGGATTCAAATTACCCACAGCCTAAAAAGAATTTGAAGATATCTTTTCCACTATACATTAGAAGCTTCTATTTGCAGAAAATTATTCATATCTTATTAGCATAATTTATAATTTTTGGACTATGTGGACCATGTAGTTCCACTCCTCTGTATTACAGTAATGAAAAGAAAAAGAATTTTGCGTCATGAATATCTTTTTGAAATAAAGTAGCCAGATTAAATGCAGGAACTAGGGAATTTGTTTTATAAATAATGTAGAGTGTCGCCTGAAGCAGCTACATCATCTGTAACCACATGCAGTTCATGGTAAAATATTGCCAGTGGCAGTGATCCCTCCAGCAAGTGTATCTTTCCGCATAAAGAGGTCCTAATAAAACTTCTTGGGCCATATTAAGAGTCCTTGCTTGAAGTTGGCTATTCAAAATGCACTGTTTAAAATCTCAACAACAACAAACAAACATAGTGTAATCTCACGAGTCAGGTCCGGGGAGGGTAGTGTGTATGTAGACCTTACCCTTACCTTATGAAGATATGGAGAATGTTTCCAATAGACATTAAATGTAGTAATGGAGAAACCATAGAAAAAGAAACAGTAACAACAACAAAATAATAAAATATGTGAAGCAAAACAAACAACTGGTAGTATTAGAAATCTAAGTATGCACGATTTAAAACCATAAGCCAGCTAGGGATATTAAAAGTTCAAAGTTTCTGTCCGGACAAAATTACAACTTGCTAGAATCTGCCTCTTGGAGTATAGAGTAGGAAATTAATCTTTTCAGTGATGATTGGGGTGGCAAAAAAGGCATTCTTCTGTCCTGTTTCCCTCTGTAGCTGAGATGATGTACCCCAGATTGATTGAATCAATTTGTTAGTAGCCTATTTGGTGACAGCAAGATTTATAAAAATTAAAAAAACAAAAAAAAAAGGGCTGCTTACGGTTGGCAAATGGCTCACTATTAGAGAATTTTACTGTCGCTTTATTAGTTGGCTATTTAAACTTTTATGGTGAGGATTTCATCCCCACATTGTAATTACCTCCCCATTTCCCTTCCAAAAAGAAAAGTGATAACTCATGTGTACTTTGTTTTGATGATTTAAGATACTTCATGTGATAATCGATGGAGAACCTGATATATTTGGTTTCTTCGCGTTAAAAGCAACAAGTTAAAGGTTTGGCACAAGTCTCAATAAAATCAGATAACGAAACAACAGAGGAAAGTTCTTACTGCACTGCACACGTAACAGTACAACAACACTATTGAAGCATTGTGTGTACCGGACTCTTCCTTGCATCAGCTTTGATGACCTCACTTATATATTACCAACATGAGACAAGTGATTACACATACTTGCAAAACCTAAATGGAGTATCATTTCATTTTCCAAAGGCATTAAAGAACAAAACAATAACATAACAAAGGACCAGATCCCAACATTGATTACTTCATGTGTTCTTTAGTATTGTTGTGTCTTTGTTCATGCTATTCACTTGTAACTCTTACTCAGCTTAATTAGAAACATCTCGTAGGACACTTTGTAAACCATAAATTGTGTAGTTGTTTTGACTAGAGTTAGTCAAGTGGTTAGCTTTGTAATAGAATTATTATAAGTAAGTGAGGGAATAAGAGTTTAATTCCTAGGTTAAAATATGTTGTAATCTAAAGCTGCTCAATTAGTGAAGTTGAAATCCTTCGAGTATAGGTCGTGGTTTTTAATCCCGTGAATTGAGAGTTTTTCACATAAATATTGTTGTGTTATTTATTTACTGCTATATTCTGTGGAACTGATAGCGATTCTATATACAGTATCACGGACTCTTAGTTTACGTAAAAAAAAAAAAAAAAAAAAAGACTATCACTATCACACAAAAACAAATTAGATAGTGGAAAAAGAAAAGGAGACCACAGTGCTTAATTTGCATGGGTTCTGTTTGCTCAATGAA